TCACAACAAACACCATGGGTTATCATACAACACATGTTCACAACAAAAAGGACTTCAGGATGTTTCTAAGAAAATGATGATTAAGCAGAAAACGCCAAAGCACATCACTCTTTGTTCTGTCAAAATAAAGACATAAAAACTACTGTGTGAGATTATAATATACACAATAAAACTCACTCAGAATTAAATACACATTACAAACTCTTTGCAACTAAATGTAGAACTTTTTGTAGACAAATCATAACTTTTTATACATGTTTTAGATGAGTTTTCTGTCTTACTGAGTAGTTCTTCCCATTTTAATTCACCAGTGTGTTGCTCCAGGTGTGAGATGGAAGGCATGAATATCTACCAGAGGAATGAAACAACATGGCCCTGCCTGAGATCTGCCCAATGACCAAAAACACAGAAAGCTTTCAGAATAACCTGAACCATCTTCTCCTTCCACTCATTTTGGCCAGCAGCCACAGATTTGACCTCTAGTTAAAGGATGAATGGGTGGCTAACTTGGTAGAGCTGTTGCCTTTCAGCGAGAAGGTTGGTGGTTCAAATCTTGAACGGGGGCCTTTCTGGGTGGAGTTTGCATGTTCTCCCTGTGCATTGAGGGGTTTCCTCCCACAGATCAAATACAGCCAGGCAGGACAGGTCATAGGCAGGGGCAGAAATAAGGACCCTTGTGGTCACAACCTTATTTATAAAGAACTGCAGGAAGGCGTTACATAGTTCACTTGAGGCTTCCAGGCAGACAGGTTGTGGGGCCTTCAGGACACGTAGCTCGTTATGATCAGACACGATAATGTCGGACAGGTGTGCTTTTTTTGGCCTCTTTGACAGTGTTCTGGTACTGATGTTGACAGTCCTTCAAATGGAAATAAAACCTGCAGCTGATCTATTTTCCATCTCTGTTCAGCTCACTCTTGTATGGCTGAACGAGTTCTTTCCTTGAACCAGGTTCATGCCTGGCTTTAGGCCGCACCAGTTTAGACGGAGCTACCGAGTCCAGAATAGAGAAGTCAAACCATGAGCTCAGCTGTTCGGTGTCTGCAGCAGAGTCAGAGGGAACACAGAGAAGGGTTAAAAACTCTACGTTGCTGGGTACGAGTAGGGCTGAGCACCGAACTTCAGTTCTTTAACGGCACAGACCGAACTGCTTCGGTCGGTGTATGGATCAAAATATGCATCTTCTTTCAGCAAGGGTGCCAGAAACATCCGTAATGTGGGGGGGGGGACACAATGATGCGTGTAGGTGTGTGTGCGCGCGCATGTGTGCGCAGGAAAAAAAAAAGGTGTTCACTAGTGAACTAAAAAGCAACATTTCACCTGGATCTCCTTTAATTCCACACATTTAAAACTTGTTTCTCACCAAGTTTGTGTAAATTCATCTGTGGGTTTAAAGACATTTTAACTTTAATACACTTTAACACAGAGCGTCAGGTCGACACTATTTGTCTTTATAGAGAAATAAAAACCATCACTGGACTTTTTTACTTGTGTTCAACACTCCTCATGTAAAGGATGTTTGTCATGAAGCTTGAGGACAATAAGGTGTGGGGGTTTAAACACATTTCAACTTTAATGCACCTGAACACACAGAGTCTCTTAAACCTGCAGCGTCTCACAGTTACTGCTGGGATAAGATGCTACAGACGCAGCTCCTCTTCTCTCCTCCCAACATGAATACATGTTGATGATCAAACACATACGTGGTTACGCCCACAGACGGGGTTCACATGGTTTGTAAGGCAAGCCTTAATATGCAGCGCACGACCGTGCACGGAATTTAAGAGCGTAAAGTTGCTCCATGTTTGACTGTAAGAAGAGAGGACCGCGGCCGCCTCCTCTCAGCATCTAAGTCAGCCTGTGGGTGTTACAGATCCTGAACGGCCCGATTCAAAATCACCACGACCGGACTCCTCTTGCACTGAGGACGGCTCCGTGTCTGGGATTTCAGCTGGTAAGTTTACGTTCGTTAACGTCACTGCAACTTAACACGTGCATCGGACGGTGGAGCACACATTTAGCTGTGTTTATAAACCAGCGCCATTCCTCCTCCGTGGCCTGACATCTGGGGGGAGCTTAGATAAGAACAGCCGTCCTGACATCTGGGGGGAGCTTAGATAAGAACAGCCGTCCGGTAAAAGTTTCATAAAAACACTGAGTCATCAGCCTCAACCGAGGTTTCTGTCACACAGAGGAAATTCAAATAACAGGAACTGGAAAAAGTCCCTCAGGATGAAAGTTTTGTTTGTCGGAGACTTCTGGCAGAAACCACGGCCTGCTGTCTGACAGATGGGGGGGACCCGGGACAGCGTCTTTAGGCTCTGAAGCTTCACTCTGTGCTGGTGGAGATGAAAGAAGTAGGAGGGGTGGGGGCAGATGCCTGCATCCAGGCCAGTGGCAGGTACCAGACAGCTGTCAATAGCATCCAGGAAACGCCGAGGCACAGCAAAAAAACGGAAATAATCAATTTGTTGTCTGGGAAATGGAAGTAGAATGGGCCAAGCATATCAACAAAGTCCGTGCTCAATAATCCAGGTATACAATGCAACAATTTTCAGCCAAGCATATCTTGAATTTCACCAGCCGGCCTCCACGTTTACCGCTGTAACAACGAAATCTCAACGGGTGGGGAGTGCAGGTGCCCGGAGGAGATGAGCTGGGACTCCTGACAGGAGCGGGGGTAAAGTTTTCTGTCCACCAGAATCAAACGCACTGAGATTGCCAATGACATGTTGAATATCCAGGAGAGATTGGTGATTGTACACAAGCACAGACTTAAAGCCAAGCACCAAACATAGGAAAAAAGCAAACCAAGCCAAGAGTGACAGACGGCCGGCTACACACTCTGGCACCATCTTTGAAACAATATATAACAGTCAGTCCGTAAAGATTGCTGAGAATGATTGTAGAACAATATGACAGCAGCACATTTAAGACAAATGATTAAAGAAGTAATCTGTAGTGCATACTTTCTTATTTGTTGCAGGTGGAGAAGTGTATCCCACAGCGTGTCCAGCAGCTTCAATGATGAATGAAACATTCTCTATTCGTGGACCACAAACGAGCGAGGAGCCCAACAGAGCTGTCCATTTGCTGAGGTCACCGCACACCTGATGGAAGAAACAACAACAGGCCACACATGAGTGAACTGCTCCATCACAGTTTGACCCGTGCAGGAGCAGAGTCAGAGCAAACAGGGACTTTATACGCAGAGGTTGTGGAACGCAGAACATCATACAGGGTTCTAACTGTAATACACATCCCTTATTCCACTGGAGCGTTTAAACAATGCTGAAAGAAATGAACAAATAAATACATGAATAAATGTCGGCATCTCAGTTTCTCTATCATGTAGATAAAACAGTCCACACCTGCGATATTAGCAGGTTGGAAAAGTTTTCAAAGAGGGCCCAAAATAGTGGAGAATTTTGAGTTAGCTGTGTAAAACGATGGATTGTACATCGTGTTTCCTGGGCTGACTGCAGCAATACTGAAGCAGAAGAGCTGAACACAAAGGGCCTGCAGGAGAAACAAACCTCTGGATGATTTTTAGTCTGCTACAATACTAGAAGGTTAGGTTGTTTGTCTACGTTTGAATTATCTGCTATATTAGGAATCGAAAAAAGTTAAGTCTGGTTCCCTGGACATTCAAAAAACAATTTTTTTTTTTTTAAGTTTCGTCTTTCATCCGAGAGACTTCCTCAGTCTGAGGTGCTGATACATATTGATACATATTATATACACATATAAACACACACACACACATATATATACAGTATATATATACA